TGTGTGTGTGTGTGTGTGTGTGTGTGTGTGTGTGTGTGTGTGTGTGTTGGGGGAAGGGAGACAGAGAAGTCCACTTAGACTGAGCAGCAAGAAATAAGCCTTTTTCTCCAATAATCTATAGCCCTCCTTCACATCCTGTCAAGTGACTATAATTGCTCTGGTGTCCCTGACAATGGAGAGATGAGGGATGGCACAACTGACTGTAATACAGGACTTGGCACGTCATAAATATTTGGCAAATGTTAAGAGTTACTATCATAATCACTATCATTATTATTATGATTGAGCAGAAGCAAAAGCACTAAACAGAGTGAGGCTTAAAGAACCTTCATGTGTTTGGGAAAAGTTTCAGGAGGCAGGAGCTCTGCGGATTGCCCTTAAAGGGCAAGTCAGGTTTGGGTGGTGGGAGATGAAGGGGCACCAGCTTTGCAAAGAGCTGGAGATAGAAACAGGCAGGGCAGTGACAGAAGAGTCTGGCTGACCTGGGATTTGGTTCAAGGGTTGTAGCTGAGCCTGGCATCACATCCTCTTCATCCTAGACTCCCAACTTGTGTCTAGCACAGTATGTGGGAAGTAAATGCTGAGTAAATGTCAAGGTGAAGTGAATTGAGATAAATCGGCTGAACCTCTGCACACAGCCTGAGACAGCCCCCACTGCCTCCCTCACTCCTCTCCCATCACTGCTGTAGGGCTGGCCTCCTTCCCTCTTCTCTGCCTGCTTGTTTTGGATTCATCTGTTCCTTGCCACAAACAATACTTTTTTTTTTTCAAGGCTTTATTTTATTTTTACGTGGCACATAATAATTGTATATATTTCTAGGGTACGATGTGATGTTTCAATAGACCTTTACATTATGTAATGATCAAATCAGGGTAATTAGCAAATCCATTATCTTCAACATTTATCATTTCTTTGTGATAAGAACATTCAGAATCCCCTTTTCTAGCTATTTTGAAAAGTACAGTACATTTTTGTTAACTGTAGTCACCCTACTGTGCAATACGATACTAGAACTTACTTCTCTTATCTAGCTATAACTTTGTACTAGCCTGTCTCCATCTCCCACTCCCCCCACCTTCCCCAGCCTCTGGTGACCACTTTTCTGTTCACTTCTATGAGACCAACGTTTTAGATTCCACAGCTGAGTGAGATCATGCAGTATTGGTCGTTCTGTGTCTGGCTTATTTCACTGAACATAATATCTTCGGGCTCATCCGTGTTGTCTCAAATGACAGGATTTTATTCTTTCTTACGGCTAAATAGTATTCCATGTGCTTATATACCACATTTTCTTTATTCTTTCATCCATCCAGTAATGAATACTTGGGTTGATTACATATCTCTGCTATTGTGAATAGTGCCACAGTAAATATGGGAGTGTAGACATCTCTTCCACATACTAATTAAATTTCCTTTGGATGTGTATCCAGTAATGGGATTGCTGAATCATATGATAGTTCTATTGTTAATTTTTTGAGGAACCTCCATACAGTTTTCCATAATGGCTGTACTAATTTGCATTCCCACCAACAGTGTGCAGGGGTTCCCTTTTCTTCATATCCTTGCCAGCACTTGCTATTTTTTGTCAATAGTCATTCTAACTGGGATGAGACAGTATTTTATTGAGGTCTCTGTTTGCATTTCTCTGGTGATCAATGGTGAACATTTTTTCATATACCTCCTTGCCATTTGTATGCTTCTTTTGAAAAATGTCTCTGCAGATCTTTTCCCTGTTTTTAAAATGGATTATTTATTCTTTTGCTTTTGAGTTGTTTTTGTTCCTTGTATATTTTGGTTATTGACTCCTTGTCAGATGTCTGGTTTGCAAATATTTTCTCTCATTCTGTAGGTTTCTGTTCACTCTGTTGATTGTTTTCTTTGCTGTCAGGAGGCCTCTTATTTTGATATAATCTCATCTGTCTAATTTTGCTTTTGTTGCCTGTGCTTTTGAGGTCTTATCCAAAAAAATCCTTGCCTAGACCAATGTCATGTAGTGATTCCTCTATGTTTTCTTCTAGTAGTTTTACAGTTTTGGGTCTTACATTTAAGTTTTTAATATATTTTAAGTTTTTTTTTTGTATGGCGGAAGATAAGGTTCTAGTTTAATTCTTCTGCATGTGGATTTTCATTTTCCCCAGCACCATTGATTGAAGAGGTTGTCCTTTCTCCAATGTGTGTTCTTGGCCCCTTTGTCAAAAATCAGTTGTCTGTAGATGTGTGGATTTATTTTGAGGCCCTCTATTCTTTTCCAGTGGTCTATGTGTCTGTTTGTATGCCAGGACCATGTTGTTTTGGTTATTATAGCTTTGTAGCATATTTTGAAGTCAGGTAGTGTGATGCCTTCAGCTTTGTTCTTTTTTGCTCAAAATTGCTCTGTATATTCAGTGTCTTTAGTGGTTCTATACAAATTTTAGAATTGTTTTTTCTATTTCTGTGAAGAATGTCATTGGTATTTTGACAGGGATTTCATTGAATCTATTAATTGCTTTGGGTAGCAGACATTTTTATTTTAATTTTGTTTTTATAGATTTAAAACAAGTGCAGTTTTGTTACATGAATATATTGTATAATAGTGAAGTCTGGCTTTTAGCGTAATCGTCACCTGAATATTGTACATTGTGTCAATTAGGTCATGTCTCATCCCTAACCCCCTCCCACCTTTCTGAGTCTCCAGTGTTCATTGTTTTCTCATTCTATGTCTATGTGTAGTCATTTTTTAGTTCCTACTTATAAGTGAGAAGATGTAGTTTTTGACCTTCTGTTTCTGAGTCATTTCACTTAAGATAATGGCCTCAGCTCTATCTATGTTGCTGCAAAAGACGTGATTTCATTCTTTTTTACAGCTGAGTAGTATTCCATGGTATATATATGACATTTTATTTAATCATCTGTTGTTCCATACTTAGGTTGATTCTATATCTTTACTATCACAAATAATCATATGGGTGCAGGTGCCTTTTTCATTTAATGATTTCTGTTCCTTTGGGTAGATACTCAGTAGAGGGACTGCTGGATTGAGTGGTGGTTCTATTTTTATTCCTTTGAGAAATCTCCATACTGTTTTCCCTAGAGGTTTACTAATTTACATTTCCACCAACAATGTGTAAGCATTCCCTTTTCACAGCATCCTCACCAACACCTGTTATTTTTCAACTCTTTAACAAGAGCCATTCTGACTGGCATAAGATGGTATCTCATGTGGTTTTAAAGAGATTGTGGTAAGAGGTATAAACATGCACATAGCTCTCTCTGTGTGTGACAGCCAGTGTTCTAAGCATTTTATATGAATTAATTAGTTTAATCTTCTAGGAAATAAGCATGCTGATTATCCTCATCTTACAGAGAAGGAAACTGAGGCACAGAGCTTAAGTAATCTGCTTAAGGTCACCATGTAAATTAGGGACTGAGTTTGACTAAAACTCAGGCAGTCTGGCTTCAGTGCCTGTGCTCTTAACCATTTACTTACTGCTTTTAAAAAGTAACTGAACATTGCTCCAATTGCATCCGAGCCTCACTCACCACCTCTTTGATGTGTGTAATTCTGACCTTCAGATCAAACAAATAAACATCAAAATTTCTAGCCTCAAGGAGTTCTAAGATGTGCTGACTCTCCCTCCTGCCCTTTTTCTATCTCTTTCCTCCTCCCTCTGTCATCTTTCAGCTTTCTTAGAATTTTTAATTCTTCTTACTCTTAATCATCATGGAATAGCACCAAGTTCAGGCATCCAACTATGCCCTTTTGAAATTCCCGTAGAGAGCATCAAGCAGCTCCAGGCCTGACCATTATGAAGCTATTTTTACTGACAAAGGCTCTGTGAGAATCAGCCCCACATTCAGTGTTCTAATCATCCTATCCAGGACATAAAACCCTAAGGGGAGCTTTGCCACACTTGGAACTCATCTGCTTTCCCGTCCATCGGTCAGAATCTTGCAGGAGCTTAGGGTGAATAAGTGCCGTCTTCCAATCTTCACAAAATGGAGAGACTTACTGGCCAGCTTTATCCAGTTCAAGCCGATCACGCAGTTGTGGAGAGATCTGAGTGGTTCCTTGAAAAATGGAAACAGGAAGCAGTTACAGATGAAATTTTGGACTTCCAAATGCAAGTTAATATATCAAGCAGATGTACGGAATGTGACCATGAACCGGTGTTCCTCTAAATACACTTAAGAGCAGGCCAAATTTGAACTTCCTGCATTCCCTTGTAAGCATCCTTCCAAATCTGGCCTCTCGGTGACGTTTTTAGGATTTGGGGACATTGTGTTAAGAGTAGAGACCAAAAAAACACGATAGAGAAAAATGACATTAAGCAGCTACAAGATGGTCCAGGGAAAGGGATGTGTCATTCCAGTGTTGAAACATCCTCTGATAAGTGCATGAAGCTTACTGAACAGTCAATAAGAATAGGAAATGGTTTGCAGAAGACTCATTCACGTGATAACAATTGAATATTCTGATCCAGTGTCTTGGGGGATCTGTAGTAAAGATGAGAATAGGAATTTATAACAGCTTGAAGTTGTGGCCCTAGATTTATGTCAATGCCTTATTAGCTGAAGAGATGGACCATCGGCAGGCTCATTCAGGCTAAGCAAGAAACAGTTTGAGGGATCTTCTAAATCCTTGGGATAAAAGTTATATGAAACAGTATTCAGGCAACTTCCTCAATTCTGGGAAGTCAGTAAGTTTTGTATTTCTGCCAGTTCTAGAAATAAACACAATACCTTGCATCTCACTTTAAGACTGTGATCTCACTTTGCCCTTCACAACAACCCTGTGAGGTAGGTAGCCCATAATATCCTTAATGTTTATTTTAGAGATGAGAGTTAGCCATGGGGAGTTTGAGGAGCTCTGTTCAGGCTTCAGAGTTGTTTATTTAGAGAGCTGGGCCTGGAACCCAGGCCTTCCCGCCGCCTGGTTCACGCATCTCCAACATGTACAACATTCGCCAACACGCACGCACGTTCTGTTCAAGTTTATCAGGACAGGTCATGTGAAATGTGTCTGATAATGATGGGGATCTTGGTAATATCTGAATATTGGGGGTAAGCAAAGATAGTGAGTAGCACCCTCACACCTGGAAATGATATTCTGCTGGCTCCCAGAAGCTCTCATGGTGAGGATAAAGGTTGAACTGTGAGCACTTGGCCCATGGGAGTCCTTGAACAAGTCAGGAGGGGAGTTCAGGTCCGTTCACTCCCGTGGCATGTTCATTTCATTTGTCCCCATAGCTGTCTCTAAGTGAGGATAAGGTCGGTGATTCATGAGTTGCTAAAGACTGTGGAGGAAACTACTCTTATGTAAACACCACTGATGTTGAATAGCTGTAGAAAACCAATTATTCAAAGTTGACTTTTATTGTACGTTGAAACCAAATTTGCTGTCATTCGCACATCTCTATTCTTTCCCTTTCTTTGAGTTCCTTCCTTCCTTCCTTCTTTCCTTCCTTCCTTCCCCCCTTCCCTCCTTTCCTTTTTGCAAATACCTAAGTATCAGTAGCTTCTGAGGTAATGTCTTGCTCACATCAGATCAAAAATGAATATTTCTGATCAGCAGGTATCTCTCCTCCAAGCAGCAACAGGGCACAGGCTTTCCATGCTTGGGCTGTGTAGCATCCAGGCTCCCCATCAATGTGAGGGAGGCCTCCTGGGCCACGGTGCTCACCTCCACCAAGCCAGCAGAAGTGCACGAGCCCGCAGCATTGCACATGGGGAAGCTACTGTTGCCTTCTCTGGGAACGGCATGTATTTGTGCAGTCTTCATATTTACAACCTTTAGTATAATTTGTGTTTTGTTAGTTGAATAACTGTAACAGGCTTAACTATTCTTTTTTTAAATTTTAATTTTCTCCCCTCCCACCCCCCACCCCCATGACAGTGGTCAAGTTTGGTGCTCCTTCTAGAGCCTTTCCAATTATTTTCAGCATTTTTTGTTGATAGAAATGTGTATAATTTTAAATTCTTTTGGAAGACTAGCTGGCAGCCTTTATTAAAATTTAACATTTATATGCTCTTTGACCAAGAAGTCTCCTTTTTAAATTTTTTTGTTTCCAGAGATCGGATAGTTGGAAAACACATTGAGAAATTGTTCATAGTAGCAAACAGAAAAACAAAATCCCAGAGCAAAATAATAAAAGCCTGGTGACAAAGTGGTTGTCCAGTAATAGAATATTATGTATCCATTAATGAGAATGAAATGAGGTTATACCAGTTGCATTGAAGGGATTTCCATAAAGTATTGGTGAGACAAAATGTAAGCAGTTGTGCAGAATGGATAGTTTTTAAAATTCCATTTCTGTAAAATAGAAAAGACAAAAATGAACAAAACCAAAAGTATAAAATATAGATGGCCCAAATGAAAGCACAGATATATTCACATTCTAGTCACAAATTTTATTTTTTTCAAGTAACTGGAATAGTGATATTCGAATGACACTTATCTGTTTCTTTGGAGCAGAAATTATTACCCACCTCCAATACCTCATGATAACAAGCATTTTAAATATGTGGTCCAAAGACATTCCTTTAGAATACAAAGGTTAGGCCAGACATGGTGGTTCTTGCCTGTAATCCCAGCACTTTGGAGGTCAAGGTGGTTGGATTCCTTGAGCCCAGACGTTCAAGACCTGTCTGGACAACATGGCAATACATACATTTCTCTTTCTTTCTCTCTTTCTTTCTTTCTTTCTTTCTTTCTCTTTCTTTCTTTCTTTCTTTCTTTCTTTCTTTCTTTCTTTCTTTCTTTCTTTCTTTCTTTCTTTCTTTCTTTCTTTCTTTCTTTCTTTCTTTTCTTTCTTTCCCTTCTTTCTTTCTTTCTTTCTTTCTTTCCTTCCTTCCTTCCTTCCTTCCTTCCTTCCCTCTCTCTCTCTCTTTCTTTCTTTCTTCTTTTGCTAGAAACACCATCTCTACCAAAAAATACAAAAAAATAGCTTTGTGTGGTGGCACATACCTGTAGTCCCAGTTACTCAGGAAGCTGAGGTGAGAGGATTGCTTGAGCCTGGGAGGCAGAGCCAAGATCTCACCACTGCACTCCAGCTTGGGCAACACAGAGAAGCCTTGTAGGAAAAAAAAAAAGAAATAAAACAGAGAAAAGCAAAACCAAAAACAAGGGTTAAAGGAGACATTTACTTTGAATGTACACAAGTAATGCTATTCTTAATTAGTAAGTGATTTTGCTTTAAAAGCAGTAGTACTGCTTTAAAAGCATTATGATATTTGTGCCTAGGGGAAAATAAAATGTTGAGTTAAAGAGTGTGTCTCTCCTCAAGTCATAAGGATGATGACTAACTTTCCTAGTTTCTGTCTTCCAGATCTATGGCTGATTGCTTTACATAGATTATCGTATTTGTCACAATTCTAAGTGGTATTATTATTTGCTCCATTTTGCAGGAAAACCCAGGGAGATTAATATTTATTTAAGGTTATACAGCTTGTGAGTGGTAAAGTCAGATTTAGACAGAGTGGCTGAAACCAAAGCCTGTGAGCTCAATCACCTTCCTAAATGGCCTTTTAGTGTCTTTCTATGAAACGAACAATTTTCCATACATGAAATTAGTGCTTCCTTGAAATATCATGGATAGAGTTAATTTTCTTGATTTAAATATTAATTCATAACTGATTTATTTGTTAAAATCAGATACATGTTCCTAAGGACTAAATGTTGGTCAAATGACATTATAAAATTATATGTGTGTGTGTGTGTATCCATACAGAATATAATGTGTATATATAGAACATTATATATTATTAGATATATTGTAAATAGTATTACCTTTGATATACACACGCATGTGTATATAGAGAGTGAAGTGGTGTGAGTGGGATGGAGAAGCTTTGTATTTTATTCTGTGTCTGGGCAGTGGTTTCACTTTTCTCTTGTTTGGGTTCTAGATGGCAGGAGGGAAGATGAGCTCTGTGCTACTCATCCTATGGGTTTTTGTATTGCTTTCAGAATTTCAGGTACTTTGGTTAAGTCAGTACCCTAAGAAAGACTGTAAGTGGTAGATGCAGCTACAAGATGAAGGAACCTGAACGATCCATGAACAGAAGGAGTTTGAGGTAATTACATTTAAAACATTAAATAATGTTTCTATTTTGCATGTCGATTATTGCCAATTCAATGTAATTTACCTCATAATGATATTTGCACTTTCAGTAAAACCCAAGTTGTAAGTAGAGTTGGAAATATACTAAAAGTAATAGAATGAGATTATCTATGTTGAAAAGTAGAATTTCTGTTCCAGATTTTTAAAAATCAGCTTTATATACACAGAGGATTCATGGGATGATTGTGAGAACTCTATTTTACTAGGAATGGTAAAAATATATTAGACACATATTAAAATGTTTCTGCATTATAATCTCTTAACCTAAAATAAAATGTTTCAGTATATAAACCACTATCTATTCAAAATTAAATGTATTCAGGAGTAGAAAGAAAAAGTATTCAGATGAGACAGAAAAAAACTTTAAAAACTAACAAAACCCACAAAAACATCAATCACTTATGCTCCAGTGTTTAAAAACTGCAGACTTCTTGTAAGGCAAAACTCAAACATCTTCCTTATTGATACTCTGAAGAGAGGATTAGATTTGCATTTCCACAAAGTGCAAGCTCACGGGAGGAGGCAGGCAGCTTGGCTGCACTCAGGGCATGTCACTACACTGCTATTTTCATCTTCTTTTAGAGATTCCTCTAATTTTAGGAAATATAGCCACAGGGCGGGCATCAGGAATTCTCTCTATGAATTGATGGAGATCTGCTGATGAATCTTTCTTAATTGCCCAAAGACAAAATAGTAACTGTCTTTGCTGTAGCATCACAGGGATGGGAAAAGTTTTTATTTCCCATGCCAACTCTGACACATTGGTAATTGATTCTTAGGTTGAGAAGGATTTTGAGGCCAGCTTCAATTTTGAGTTCAGTCAAAGTGTTCTGGGATGAGTATATCATGCTGAACTTTGGAGTTTACCATATTTGATAGACTGGCCTTATGTGGTGATTTTCCCTATTGCAAACACATAAAAATGTTAAATGTAAAGAGTGTCAAGAAAATGCTTTAAAGTGTATACTGAAGCAAGCAAGGGAAAGTTGTGGGTTTCACAAACAAAAAGAAAACGGAAGCTTAGGAGGGAGAGCTGCAGTTGATGCTGAGGTGTGCTGTGGGCTTAGGTCTTAGGAGCTGCGGGCTGGGAGTTGAATGCTTAATCCTGACAAGGCATGGCTTGAGGGCTAGGACTCAGACCTTCAATTTAAGACACCCAAAGGGCTACCAGTCTTTGAAAAGAAACTATGCAAATATCTTTGGGTCAGACCAAAAGCTCTGGGTTTAATAGAAGCAAGGATAAAAGTTTATCTGAAGGGACGCTTCCACACCTCCTACTGAAAAACACCTTTTGCTGCAGATGAGCTAAAATAAATTACAAATTACGTGAGGGACAATCCCACTGTGGTGCAAAGTCAGCAGCTGCAGTAGATGGGAACACGGTAACCAAGACTGTGAGAAAACAGATCTATCCGAAAGAGACACAAAATAGAAATGCTGAACATGAGTAGAAATAAATTGCAGAAATGATAAGCAAATGACCTTCTAAGAAAAGAATAAGCAGATTTGAAAAAGAACAAAATAGAAATTGTGAAAAGGAAAGATATTGACATTTAGAATTCAGTAGATGGGTCAAAGAACAAACCTGTCATAGTCGAAGGCAGAATTATTGAACCAAAAGGTAGAGCTAAAGAAATCACCAGAATATAGTACAGAGAGATAAGGAAATGGACATTTGAGGGGAGACTTTGTGATATGTATGATAGACTAAGGGGATCTAATACAAATCCAATTAAGAGCTCTGAAGTGAAGATATTCGGAGAATTGGGAAAATGTAATAATGGAAGACTAGGAGGCTGATGATTTTCTAGAAATATAGAAAAATTTGAGTCCTCAGAATAAAGAAGCACCTCCAGCAATTGCAGTCTCTCTTTCTCTTTCTCTCAGTTTTTTTCTCTCAATTGTGTTATTACCATCAACAAGAAAAAATATTGCAACAACTTGTCATGGTAAAATAAAACAAGCGTCCCTTGCCTGTTACCCTAATCCACATACTGCTCCATTCCTCCGCTCCTTTTCACAACACTCATTCAGAGAGTTGCCTGAAGCCCCCATCTGTACTTTCTCTTCTCTTATTCTTTCTCAAAACCCCTCGAATCAGGATTTTATCCCGGTCACTTCACAGGGACAGTTTATTGAGGTTACTGATGTTGCTGACACGGCCAAATCCAGTGGCCCATTCTCCATCTTCATGATGTGCAACCGGCAGCATTGGACAGAGTTGCTTGCTTTCTCCTCGTGAAAATGTTTTCTTCCCTTGGCTTCTTGGGACCACTTTCTCTGGGTTCTCCTCATACTGCTCTGGTTGTTCCTTCCCAGTTTCCTTCTTGGTTCCTTTTCACCTTTGAGGACGTAGTCTCCTTCCATACTCTCTAAAGCAATCTCCTCCCAGTCCTGTGACTGTGAGTCCTAATGCTAACAACTCCCACATTGCTCTCTCCAGCTTGGACCTCTTCTCTGAAATTCAGATTCCCATATCCAGCCTCCTATATCACAGCTCCACTTTGACATCTGATAGATATCTCAAACTCACTGTCTTCAAAGAAAAACCCCTGACATTGCGTCTCTCCCTACCCCTAAACTGTTCTTAAAAATTGCCCATGTCATAAAAATGTTTTTTTTTTAATTCTTTCAGTTATTTGGTTCAAAGAATTTGATGTGATGCTTGTGTCTTATCTGTCTCATGCCCCACATCCAATTCAGCAAATGTCACCAGTTCTATCCTGAAAAGATACCCAGAATTTGACCATTACTCAACGCCTTCATCACTACTTCCATGGTCCAAGTCTCCATCATCTTTCCTCTGGACCACTGCGGTAGTCTACAGCTGGTCATTCTGCTCTCGTACTTGCATCCCTACACAATGAAATAACTGTTCTAAGCACAGCAGCCACAGTGAGCCTTTTAGACAAATGCCATACTCTATTATTTGAGACCGTTCAGAGGCTTCCCAGAGCCTTTCCAAAGTCCCTGTGATGGACTGGAGGATCTGTGTGCTTTACTCACCCCTCTGCTTGTCTGACCCGATCCACTTTCCCTCTCACTTCTCCTGTCCACACACATTGTCTCTGTGCTATTCCTTGACCACACCAGGCGTGCTTTGACCTCCAGGCTCTCGCTTGTACTGTATCCTCTGCTGCAGTGCTCTTTCCCCAGATACTTAGATAGTTGGTGTCCTCATTTTCTTCAGTTATCTGCTCCAATATCAGCTTATCAAAAAAAGCTTCCTGACCACCTTATACAGAGTACTCTCCCGGCATCCATTGCCCCCATACCCTAGTTTATTTTTTTCCATAGCTCTTATCACTATCAGACATAATGTATTTGCATGAGACTGTCAGTTAATTTCCATTTCCTCCCACCAGAATGTAAGCTGCATGAATACAGGGATTTTGTCTGATTTGCTCTCTGCTGATCCCTAGTGCCTGGATCTAGCAAGTAGTAGGGGCACAATAAGTATATATCAAGTGAATGAATAGGTTTCAAGCAGAATCCACAGTTGACCCTTAAATAACATGAGTTTGAACTGTGTGAGTCTACTTACGTGCAGATTTTTCTTAACAAAACTTATACCAAGTGAACCTGCCTTCACTTCCACCTCCTCCACCTCTTCCGCCTCTGCCACCACGACACAGCAAGACCAACCCCTCCTCTTTCTCCTTCTCTGCTACTTGACATGAAGATGATAAGGATGAAGACTTTTATGAGATCCACTTCCACTTAGTGAATAGTAAGTATATTTTCTCTTCCTTATGATTTTTATTAACTTTTTTCTCTATCTTATTTTATTATAAGAATACAGTAGTAATACATATAACATACAAAATATATGTTCAGCTGTATATGTTATTGGTGAGGCTTCTGGTCAGCAGTAGGTTATCAGTAGTTAAGTTTTTGGGGAGTCAAATGTCATATGCAGATTTTCAACTGCATGGGGTTGGAGAGCCAGTGCTCTAGCCCCCACGTTATTCAATGGCTTACTGTAAATACAGATCCACACCTAGCCACATCAGAATGAAAACTAAAGAACATACAGAGCTATATTTCGTGCATTTTTATTTATGTATGTTTTTATTCATCTATCATAGTTGTACATATTTTGGGAATATATGTGATATTTTGATATATGTATATAATATGCAGTGATCAAATCAGGGTGATTGGGATATCAATCACCTCAAATGTTTACCATCTGCCCACCTTGGCCCTCAAAGTGTTGGGATTATAGGCATGAGCCACCACACCTACCCCATCATTCTACTCTCTGCCTCCAAGAGATCCACTTTTTTAGTTCCCACAAATATGTGAGAACATGTAATATTTGTCTTTTAGTGCCTGGCTTATGAACATACTAACCTCCAGTTTCATACATGTTGCTGCAAATGACAAAATTTCATTTTTTATGACTGAGTAATATTCATATATATATATGTATTATTCCTATATATATATATGGGAATTCCTGTATATATAGGAATATTAGGAAAATATATATATACATATTTTCATATATATATAAGAATTCCTACATATATATGAATGTTTACATATACATTACATTTTCTTTTTTTTATTGCATTTTAGGTTTTGGGGTACATGTGAAGGACATGCAAGATTGTTGCATAGGTACACACGTGGCAGCGTGATTTGCTGCCTTCCTCCCCTTCACCTATATCTGGCATTTCTCTCCATGCTATCTCTCCCCAACTCTGCATCCCCCACTGTCCCTCCCCTATTTTCCCCCAGCAGACCCCAGTGTGTGATGCTCCCCTCCCTGGGTCCATGTGTTCTCATTGTTCAACACCCGCCTATGAGTAAGAACATGTGGTGTTTGATTTTCTATTCTTGTGTCAGTTTGCTGAGAATGATGGTTTCCTACAAAGGACATGAACTCATTGTTTTTGATGGCTGCATAGTATTTCATGGTGTATATGTGCCACATTTTCCTTGACCTCTCTATTATCGATGGGCATTTGGATTGGTTCCAGGTCTTTGCTATTGTAAACAGTGCTGCAATGAACATCGCATGCATGTGTCCTTATAGTAGAATGATTTATAATCCTTTGGATATATACCCAGTAATGGGATTGCTACGTCAAATGGAATTTCTATTTCTAGGTCCTTGAGGAATCGCCACACTGTCTTCCACAATGGTCGAACTAATTTACATTCCCACCAACAGTGTAAAAGTGTTCCTATTTCTCCACATCCTCTCCAGCATCCATTGTCTCCAGATTTTTCTAACTGGCATGAGATGGTATCTTAATGTAGTTTTGATTTTCATTTCTCTAATGACCAGTGATGATGA